GCTCGAAGTGTTTTGGGCATCATTCTATAAATGTCCCTCAGGTCAGAGCAAAACATGAGGCAAAAGAGTATCGGTGCTCTGCCGAGCATAAGACGCGTCGCCATTTAGAGATGACCTGTAGTTTCTTGTCGAGCGTGGGCAAGCATCGGTGGTTTTTGTTCGTGACTGGTCTGCTTCGTTATTTGGACTGCTGATAATCGTGTTGAAATATAGTAGCACGGTGCTTCATTCAGCCAAGAATTAGCATCATGACAATTCTGCGCAATACACTATCATATTGATGAAATCATTGGAGGAGGCAGCTTATGGAGAACTCCCAAAGTATGTAGGTTGCATTGTTCATGGAAAATGACATTAAAAGTCAAAATGTGAATAGCAATGAAGAAGATTATAAAAGTCCCAAAGGCATTAAATATGATCGTATTAGGGAATGGTGAATACTTGGTTTCATGCATTTTGTACCTTCCGCCAGCCGAAATGTTTGGATTGTGGATGCTCTGTCCTTCAAAGGTAACTGGTGGCTCAGTCGAAATATTTTATTAGTTCCCAGCTGGAACAGACAGCTGGTGAACCTGTTACAACCAGGGGCGGCGCCACGGGTTTTCGATAGGGGGGGACGGGGACCGAAAATCGAAAATCCCAAAAGTAGATACTGATCGTGTATGCAAAAAAAAAAAAAAAAACGAGGCACGTAACGCCGCGAAACTTGGCAAGGCCCAAAACACATCGAATGGTGCATCCCGTTTCCAAACTTATCCTAGGACACCTAAGATCGATCACCTTCTTGACATCCTTGCCTCTAAATCAAAATTTGCAGTCTTGCCAACTCAAAGCTGGTTTCCTACAAGCTGCGAATTGCTTAGGTATGAGTAGCAGTGCCAGCTATTCTTACGTTTCGTACTTTCAAATTTTCGATCTTACGTCTGGTCAGCTTCAGGGCTTCACCATCATATAGTCATGGAGGAAAAGTGGGAATGTCTTCTGCTCTGTCAAGTGCGCCAAAACTGCAATATAATTTCAGAATCATGACATCACCACCTGATCCATATGCAACGGGCAGGGTGCAGCTAATGGCTAGCCGTCAGTGGTCATGTCATCGGTGGTCACTCAAAAGGCCATGCTAGGTCATGGAAGGTCACCAGCCGTTATTTGATCACACTTTCTGATGGATTTTACTTGCCAAGAGCTTCGCGGGAAAAACGAGCGCATGCACCGTTGAAAAAAAATTGAGTGAAAGGGTCTCAGGTCCGGCGACCTCTGCAGGTGAAATGCCCCAGGGTAGGATTCCGGTGCTTGTTGATTAACTTCGTCAAAAATGGCAGTAGAGCTGTGATGTCGGCACCATTGTGTTCGTCATGATCGAGCTGGCACGACCTGCATCGTTCTCATATTCACCCTTCAATCGTAACAACTACAGCAGGGATTGGCAAATGGCGGGGCACCCCCTTTGGGAGGCAATGAACGTCTCTGGAAACCTCATCCCACATCTCTTTAGCATTAGTGGCTCTCCTTATGGAACAGGTTTCTTGACTGGTCTGTTTCACCCCAGAATTCAAAGACTAGTCAAGGTAAAACCGAGCGCACCACAGTGAGCACAATTTGATAAGCTGGTGTATCTCAATTTTCATGTAGAACCTTTCACGTATCACGGACCTAAAACCCTTTCGTGCACTCACGCAAAAGCAATTGCCATGTTTCAACAGCTGGTAATGGCATTTTCACAGCCGCTGACGTAAGAAGGGGAGGGATGGGGGGCTCGATTAGACCCCCAGCCGTTCGGCCGCCGACCGAACTTAGTTTTGCAGAAAAAAAAACGAGTGCTATCGAACCCCTTGACGAGAGGGAGCCGATGCTATATCCAATTATAAGGTCTTGGGCTACTGCGTGCTTTTTTTGGTCCTGCCTGTGATCTATCCGAACACTTCTCCTCACAAGTGCTGGGTTTAAATGGCATAGATTTCAAATGGTTCCTGTGGTAGAACTGCCATGCTTGAATTTGACTAATTAGGAATGGAAATTTTCATATAGTAACGGAAATCTATGGAATTTCAGTGAACTTGGTTTTATCGGCAATGGAGTCTGGCAGTGGGGTGGGGAGGTAATAAGTAGGGGAGAGTGGGGCAAAGCGGCCACCCTAACGTTTCTAACGATGCCGACGCTTGATTTTTAAACTTGGAAAGATTCTTTCTATACCAATGTGATCCCTATTAAATTGTCTTTTATTCCAACTGCGTTTCATTTCCAAAGGCGTTCACATATGGGAGATATTGACAAAACTTTAAACCTATAGCATATTGGCCACTTTGCCCCATCCCTGAGGCAAAGCGGCCACTGGCGACTTCTCAAGTCCCGATATGAGAAACAGAATAGTTGCCTAATGCACGACTAGGGTATTTGATGGTGACAAGGTTTAAGGGAAGATGGATGTTTACTTTGTTATCTTCCCACCTATTGCTAAACAAAGAAAGAATTTTCTTGGAAAAACATTTAATTGCATAATTTGGTAACTCATGTAGCCAAAAAGTGGCCAAGATGAATGCATGACGACACATTTGAATATAAATAATGTTTTTATCCAGATGGAAACAACTTATGGCCAATTGGGGGCTGGCCACTTTGCCCCGGCCGCTTTGCCCCGCGCATACCGTCCGAGACAAAAATATTCCAGCTCAGCTATTAGTGGGGTAAAAAGCATTAAAATTGGTAGAAGGCATGTACGATAACCACGCAATGCATGGACAAAAACGCTTATAAAAATTCCAAACGGTTATGGAATAAAATAACATTTAAAAATTGTAGACATAATTGGTAACCTGGCAAGAAATGCTGTTCCGTGTTTCACAGAACAATGGCGATGGGCCTGAAACCCCGGTCTGGCTCATTCGAACGACCGCAAAGAGAAGTATAATTGGAAATCATAAATTGGAACTGACGCCAGCTGTGGAGGGCTAAAACGATGGATGGCCGCTTTGCCCCACTCTCCCCTAATAACCCTGCCTGGCGCCCCAAAAAGGGGGCACGATCCCCGAGGCCCTGCCGATCACCTTATAACTACAGGCATCACAGCTCCACACCTTTTGCAGATGGCCAGGACCCCCTGCGATGCATCCCAACAGCAATCTTTATTCAGAACCTGCCTTGATTAACCAACGATGCATTAAATGCGACGGATAGCTCTATAATGCATTATTATCAACTATTGAACGGGCCTCGCCGATAGGGGGGTACTGTACCCCCTAACTTTCGATAGCGGGGGACCTGTCCCCCCCGTCCCCCCCGGTGGCGCCGCCCATGGTTACAACTCTTACAAAGAAATGCACTCCTGCTATCTCTAACCGTCACCTGTACTTCTGTGCTTCAATGACGACGTTGATTGTGACCTTTGACAAATATACCGTTAAATCAATAGCGACCTGTGGACAATCGCGCTACAAGAAACGACAATGAAGGTCAATTTTGCGCTGCCTTGGGCAACCAGCGAACATATGCCTTCATCAGATTTGTTGTGAGTTGCGTAACTCGCAACCTATACTGGAATGTTACAAATTGATTTCATCTCTATAGGTCACAGCAACTGCACTAGATAATCAAAGACCCAAGATTGCGCGGCGCGTGAGCAACGCATACTATTCAAATGACTTCCAGTACCCGGCGGCAAAAGCGCCTATTGCGAAACTAGCACGGGATAGTTGGCATACTTTGGGCACGCTGAGTAAATTCTCAATGGGCGGATGGCGGATCCTCCCGCGCCTCTGGCCGGAGAACAAAGGGACCCTGTCTTTGACCGCTGGGTGGGCCGCACTGCCGCCAAACGGCCAACTTTACGATCGATGTTCGCGTGCGATGTAAATAGGATTTGCATGAACATCACTTAGGGGCACTATCAATCGTCATGGACCTATGCAATGCTAATTTTGTGAAATGTTGCCGATAAAGTTTCGTCGTCCACTGCTTGAAATCCATGTGGAAGTGTTTCATGAGCAATATAATTCGGTTTGAAACTACTGAGAATGCTCACCGGTCAAGTGGTCAACGCTTACAATGTAGTTAACGGATGATAAATAAAGTGAATTTGGTTTTCAATGTTTGAGTTAAATCCTGGATGTTATCGTAGCACTGCTTGTATCATGATTTGCACACTCTAACTCGTCTGCCATTTGCAGTAGGTACCTTATGGTTTTCCATACTAGTTATGCTATCTATGTCTCGCAACGGAATATATAATATGTAGGTATAGGGATTTTTTTTATATTCGACCCTGTAAATGTCATTGCCATCTTGAGAGAGGTCACGGGCTCTTTTTATTTATGTCCTGAATCTGCATTCACAAATCGATCCATCCATCACATTGTGGACGATTTACAACCAGCCTCTGGTTGTTTAGAATCAACATCTCAATGTTTTTATCGGAAAGGATTGGGAATCATTATCTTGGATTTTGGAAAAAGCTCGCTGGTATGTACGTCAGTAAACGTTATGACTTTGCTCATGTTGTAAGGTATGTTAACATATGCGTTTAGGTGGGTAAGTTGAGTTAGCATGGTGAATGCTCAATACCTACCGTTTTACATATTTCAATATTCTTTAGCCAACTCCTGTGCTACTTGTCATTCATCGTAAATTAATTACACGCCGTTCCGGGGCCGACAGGCGGCTCTTTCACACATCCTACTTTATACCAGGATCTGACCCCGTTCCCAGTTAACTCTGGTTTGCGGCGCACCGTTCTGCATCATTGCAGCAGCGCCCCGCACCGTGACACCTCTGTGCTCTCCCCTGCCTCCTCCCACTGCGGTCCATCAGCTGATCGCCGACCTGGCATGTGTAGAGAGCGGGAGCTGGGGCTGGGGTAACTCTCTACCGAGCGGGGCTGGGGCTGGGGCTGGGGCGGGGCTGGGGCTGGGGCTGGAGCTGATGCAGCTCTCTACCGCAAAAGGCTAGAGCTGGGGCGGGCGGGGGCTGGGGCTGGAGCTGGGGCAGCTCTCTACCGCACCGGGCGGGGGCTGTGGCAGCTCACGGCGCGTGCCGTCTGAGGCAGGAGCCGCCAGGGAACCGGCCGGCCGACCGGCTGGCCAGTTGGAAACTGGCTGGGTCTGAGGTGGGAGGTAAGAGAGCGGCTCTGGTGACGCTTAGGACTCTGATTGCCACGAGAGAGCCCACGTGTGGGGAGGAGAGACGACACGGCGCGGCACGTGCCAGCCGTACGGCACGGCACGGACTTACTACACGGAGTGACCGCATTTCACGGGACGGACCAGCTACACGGCACGGGCCAGCCACACAGGAGTCACAGAAGCGCGTCCCTGGTCGACAAAATCCGTCCAATCAGGTCAGTCAAGGTCACTGCTTCCCCTCCCCACCCCTCTGTGTTGTCGCCTGCGCTGCTTCCATAACATAGCGCGAAGAGCGTGCTGTGTTCAAAGGCATGCTTCTCTGATAAGTAGATACTAGATGTTCTCTAAGAGTGTGTACCGGTTAGAAGAAGCCTGTTTTCCATGCATGCATTTCACCAATGTCTTCCATCGGTGGCATTAATTGTGTCCGGAAATATGGAAATAATGTGGCGACAACGCGCGGCAATGTGGGAAATGTGGTAAGCCAGTCACTGAAGCGAGAACGTCTGAAGTTACACGACGATGATGGCTTTTTGATGACTACCCTTCGATACTAAGGGGATCCGTGGATGATCTATAACATTCATGTTTCTCATTTTTGTAACATGACAAGACAAATTGGGTACAAGTTGGCTTATTTTATTTTTTCTCAACCTCTAAATAATAACCGGTGCATTATAAATGTTTCATGCTAAATAGATACCTCTACTCTAATAGTTTTTTATCGGTGAATTATCAGGGCAAAGCTCAATAGAGACATTCCAGTACAGTCGCTTACATAATGATCGATGGGCTCTTTAATCCACCGGTAACCTACGCCTGAGCACTGGCAGCAGCCGCCTGGTATTGGTAGACTGTGCCGCTTGGCTTATGTGTTCAGCGGCACAGTCTATCCACCCCGTATGACACCAGCCCGGGTCACCAGATGAGTTTCATCCCAGATTTCATAATTTGACTTTGATTCCAAGAAAGGTTGGTACTTGGTAGATATTTTAGATGTCTCATGCTGGGGGGCGGGGGGAGGGCTCGAGCACATTACGGCTGAGAGTTCGGAAGGGCTCAGCTCCCGTGAGCCCCCTGATTCCAACGCCTATAATGAAGAGTCCCTATCGATCAGCCTGCAACCGTCTGTGCCGACCTTGGTCTAGTAAGATATTTTATGCATCGTTATTCACGCGATGCCATCGCTACTTTTAGCACTTCTATGATATATGAATCTGCCATCGTTTTCATTTTCCTCTTGATTATCACGTGAAAGGGCCTTCGACTAGTTTTACGTAAGTTACTAAGTTTCGATCATTAGTTGAACATAATGTTATGAAAGATGGCATAATACAATCGTTTTGTGTGGGACAGAAACTCGTCATTATTTACTGGTTAGTAGAGCTGCTATTGAATGTAAACAGCGGCTGAAGTTACAGTTCACCAGACAGATCGAACGCTCGTTTTGTTGGCTGGTACACATACAATTAGGAACTTCGGACATTATAAAGTTTCTGCGAAAATGTCCGCACTTTTCCAACGACAGCCATGAGCCACGATCGTATAGGAAAGCGTAGAGAAGCTGGGTGGTGTGCAAGCTCCCACAATTACAACATGGATAGTGGAAAATAGTGGAAACTACAAGACAGCTGGGGCATTCCACGATAGATCGTACCAGGCCCGTCACCCTCATCTCTCAGATTTTAATGAAAATCGGTCCTAGGGGTAATCATAGGCCCCAAAGACGCCTGGCAAAATATCAGACTTCTCAGATCAAAACTTTTTGAGTTATATTGCATTTCCTTTTTTTAACCTCGGTATGTAACGGTGAGTTTGATGGCCTATAACTCAAGAACGGGTTAAGCAACCAACAAAAAGTAAACAACACTAAGCTTGCGATGAATCAAAAATTAATATTACTATTTAAAAATTCCAAAGAAAAAATTTCATTGTTGAGCAAAAACCTTAATCTTTTTTCATTTGCCTCTAATGACTTTTGGGACCAAAATTTTTCACATTTTTATTTTTTCAAAATAATCTTCATGTCATTGCAAATCGACATGCAAAAAAATAGAAAGGTGTTCTTTGTATAAGTTCCTCATTTTCCCGCAAACAAAATGGGTTTCGGAGGGGTTGATACGACCCCAGCACGCCGTTTCGCTTCTAATAGAGCTAGAGCCTCGCGGAAAAAACGAGCGTGTGTGCCGTTACAAGTCGCAGCGAATGGTACCCGATTTTAAGGTCTCAGGTTAACCGGTAGCGTCTGAGGTCAGGTCACGTGACTGAAGTTACGGGTTCGGTTTTTAGTAAATAACTTCGCAAAAAATGGCCGCAGAGCCGCGATTTTGGCATCATTGTGTTCGCCTAGCTCAGGTGCATCGAATGGTATACTTTTTGCTAGGGTGAGGTCAACTTAAGTAGTTGACCTCGGGTCAAGGTCAGGTCAGAGCCCCTCAGGTCACGAAGCTGGGCTAAGGGTATCATATGACATATCATTCGATTCGGAAGGTCTTCCCGAGTCCATTGGTGGCTTTCCCGACTCTCTAGCTCGATTTGATCGGGAGTTATTGACGAAAAACTCGTACGACCCTAATGACGTCATAAATGACGTCACGCAAGGTTTACAATGCAAAAGTAAAGCATTGGGCTTTGCAAGGAGTGCATGAAATCACGATACCGTGTACGTGGGATAGTTTTAGATCATTCTCGGCGCCAAAATAACAGTTTTTATATTTCCCCATTGATTTATAACAGTGATGTCACGTGACCGACCTGACCTCATGTAACCTTGAAAAATTCCCAGATATACAAGTTGTGAGACCTCTGGAGGACACCATGTATGCGTCCTGTAACTTTCATCTCGGACAGCTATGGTCATTGGCGTCCAAAACAATGTCAGAACCAAACAGCCTTTTTCACCCTCGCGCTTATAGGAAAGAGGGTTGAATGAACCCTTTTTTCACTTTTTTTTTCAGATGACTCAGACTTGAATTGAAATTTCAGTAACCCGTGATGTCACTAGGCAGCTTTACCACGCCATTTGTAAGCTCCCCTCCCGAAATCACTATTCGAAACCGTTATCGTGACGTAAAAAATTTGTAATTTGTAATTTGTAATTTGTAATTTGTAATTTGTAAATGGCAAATGTTCTGAATGGCAGAATGTTATTTCGGGTACCCCAGAGGGCAGTATTATTTCACCTTTGTTTTTTGCTCTTTTTATTAATGACTTTCCACGAATGGTTCAAACCAACTGTCTCATGTTTGCAGACGATATAAAGTTATTTTCAGTGATATCAGAACAGAATGATACCACATTGTTACAAAATGATCTAACACAGCTTTATAACTGGTCCAAAAGCTGGAAACTCAAGCTTAATGCTGATAAATGCAAGTCATTTAGGGTAACCCTCAGACGTGATCCCATTGTTTATAGTTATATGATTAATGGGACCTGTCTGGAAAACGTTGAAACCATTCGGGATTTGGGTGTTGTTTTGGATACCAAATTGACTTTCAGCAAACATATAGACACAACAGTATCAAAAGCTAACAGAGTCATGGGTCTCATCATGAGATCGATGCAAACCGGTCACAAGGTCAAAACATTTAGCTGGAAGCCCATTTTAACAGCATATTATGGTAACGTTAGAGCAATTCTCGAGTATTGTTGTGTTATTTGGGGAGGTGCCGCAAAAACGTACCTGGACAGAATCGAAAGGGTGCAACAACGTTTCTTATATTGGCTATATTGTTATACTCGATGTCAAGACTCACCATCAGCTATTGATTACAGTGACTTGCTGCGATTATTTGGCGTCGCATGTCTAGAGAATAGGCGTCGACAATATGACATTATGTTTGTTGCCAAATTGTATAAAAATCATACTGATTGTGCAGCCCTTTTAGCCCATTTCCCTCTATTTATCGCGCCAAGGGCAACGAGAAGCACCGAACAAGCACGTGGTGTCTTTCATGTTCCATTTGCGAGAGTAGACGCGGTACAAAGGTCACTTTTTGTTAGAGCACCATCGTTTGTTAATAAGTTTTTGTTTCAGTGTACTGATGCTGATGTATTCCATGACTCTTTAAGGGAACTTAGGGCCAATGTGTCAACATATGTAAAAGAATTTTAAAATTGTATCGTAGTTGCAATGTTTTTGTCCCAGTGTTTGTGTGTAACATTTGACTGATTTTGAGTGCTTGGACATTAAATGGGCCCACGTATGCCTGTTGTCCTTGACCCCAAATAAATAAATAAATAAATAAAAAATAAATACATTTATAGAAAGAACACCTTCCTAATTTTTTGCATAGTTCTTAACAATGAGCCAAATATTTTTTTTAAAGAAATAAAAATTCAAAAAAAAAATTGGTCCCAAAGTCCAAAAAATAAAAATGAAAGAAAACTCGATATGTCATATATCAAAAATAGCGTATTTTTCGAAATTTCAAAAATACATATTAATCTCTGTTTCATTGCAAGTTCAATGTTATATGACATTTGGCATTTAAATATTCCGTCTTAGAGTTACAGCCCGCCAAACTTAGCGCTGCAAAGCAAGATCCAAAAAATGTTATACACCATAACTAAAAAAATACTTATCTGATAAGCCTGAAATTGTTACAGGTGGATTCAGAGCCCCTGATTACCCCTGAGACCAATTCTCGTCAAATTCCGAAAGATAAGGGTGTCAAATTGGAAAAAAGTGGTACGATCTATCGTGGAATGCCCCAGCTCATAGTAGTGGTGGAGAAGGGAGAGGGCTGGGTGGCTGACGGCCATGTGCCAGGCACGGCGGAATTCGGGTTCGAGTCTCATTGGTGCTTCCTGTTGTTGACACCGCAGTTGCACGTCGTTCCTGTTTTTACGCTTTAAATCGGGATAATTTGACGACCGTACGCTGACAGTGGGTGAATGGTTGTAATGTAACCAGGGAAACACAGCGATTCAAAACATAAGCCCTGTTTTGAAAACATTAGAAAATTATAAAGCAGCTTTTCAGAAAGACGTTAGGTATCGTACACAGTTTTGTTTCGACGCCAGATTGTACAATTTCGAACAGAAATCAGTCGTGAGCCTTTGTTGTCTCGATCAACAGAGAAACGATTCGCCTGTCATCTATAATACTCTACTCATATTAATTAATTGGTAGGCAAACTGTTTCCGATCTTGCCAATTCTCAGATATTTCTCATGATGGTTTTGTGCATTGAAGTAATAAACGGAGTGAT